TGTAGTGAAATGGTAGCACGCAAGCGCCACTACTGGTATCAGCACCAATAACTAATTACTCAACGGTATGTAACAGCCACGAACGCCGAACGGTGCTACTATATGTTTTGCAGAACACTCAAGTTTCGCTTCAAAACACTGAACATTCACCAAATCCAATACATAGGTGAAAAACCTGCCGAGGGACGAACGACAAGATGGTGGTTAAAATGTCATTTCGCTAGCGTCAACCTTACAGAACCGCGCTCATCCTGCTGTATGACAGCCCTACTTATCCTTCTATCGGACCTGTGGAAGGGTTGAGCGTTTAATTGTCCAATAGTCGTGGAAAAAACGATGGAAAATTAAAGTACAACCCAAAAAAATATCGTGTAAAAAATCAAAAATCTCGCACTGATGGTAAATTGAAGTAAACAGTAAAATAATAAATAATAGTTTAAAAAAAAAACTAAAAAACACGCTTCTTCAGATAATCGCTTGATAATGCTTGATGTCAATTGTTATAAATCTTTTGTAGCAAATATTGGAAAATATCTTAATATCTTAAAAAGCACCTCACGCTTTTTTTTTACATTAAAACTTTTTTGTTAATCACTCTGTTCTTAATTTTAATTTATGGAAAATTATATTTTACTTTTTAATTCGGGTATTTACAAAAACGTATTTTTAGTGGTTTGTTTTTTAACTCTTATTATTTATACCCTGCGGAACATCATTTGAATGCTCTTCTTACTTTATATATCGAAATTAAATGTGTTTTAAGTTTTATGTTTTTTTACACCTTCTTTCAAAATTTGTTAGCTAAGTGACCTGAATCAATTCGTTATCATAGAACACAGAAACCCATAGAACATAGGAAAATAATTAATTAAAAATCTTATTCTCAAATTATAAATTAATAACGTGCTCTTTTGTAACTCCTTAATCAGTAGAGTATTAACGACTCGTTATAGGAGTGCATTTGACTTGTTTTTAAAGGCTGCAGCATTAGTACAAGTTAATTGAATTGGATTCTTATGAACGAAATATATTATGAACTGAATCAAAGATCAATAGGAAAGGTAAGAGATTAAGCACTGATAGTGGACCTACTGGGAATATCCACATGCATTCGTAGACAAAAATGCCTCTAATTATACGTAATCTCGTTAAAAAGTTGTTGTACCTGTCATATTTTATTTTTAAATAAAAAAAAAATCGGTAACGACAGGTGTCCCGGAAAAAATTGTAATAATGTTTAATATTCATTGGCGTGTACGTGGGTATGCTGAATATTTTGCACAAGTCAAAATAAAATAACGTATAATAAATTTATTTATTTTAAAATTGTTACGGCGATTCCTGCATCGCCGCGTAAGCATGCACCTCGCATTTCTTGTACAGTCGACGTGGAGAACGAATTTCTTGCGGTGTGGACAAAATGATGGATAACCTTTATGTTCAAACTTCTTTATTAGAGTACGACCTTCACATGTGGCGGCCGGAGTAAAACTGCGACGGATGCACTTTTTTTTAATTTTCTCCTTGCGGAAAGAGGGGGATAAAAAACCTTATGAGCTGCCACGCACCCGCGTGCGTGGGGCGTGTCCAACATTCACGGATCAAAAAACCCCCGAAAAACTTGATGTTGGCTTGCGCTGTTAGCCCAGGGGCTATCGTTAGCCTTATCGGACGCGACCGATTGACATAGAGATGACGTCGGCACGTGACTCTCCTACGATGGATCCGTTTAGATCCCTCGGCATAGGGAGTCACGGGAGGTTTCGACGCGGGTCTTCGACCGATGACACCGATGCGCGGTCAGCGCCCCGGAAGTTAAACTATTTGAGGTTGACTAATTTAGGGGCCTACTCCTATTCCTCCAAGTCTTTATGTCCATTGTTTAGTTTTTCAACCTTAGTAGTGAGGTCATCGGAAGGGTCTGTAAGAACATTCCGTAGCCTTCTAATAAAGTGATTTGCGGGAGGTGGTTCGTAAGAGGCAGCAGATGAAATCAATGGGTTGGGGTGATTGATTGGTATACTGAAAAATCGCTCTGACGCGTCCTTCATGTACTTAGATATGGTAGTGAATTCTAGGTCCCTATGGAGAACTGATTTCTTGACATACCACTGTGCGTCTGTTGCTCTTTTCCTAAAATTGTTTTGGATGATTTGAAGGTCATTTAATGCAGTCGGAGCGGCGTGAGCAAAGACTGAACACGCGTACGTCATCACCGGCCTTATTCACATCATATAAATGGTACGCTTGTTGCGTAGCGACATTCTGCTTTTTCTACCTATCATACTGCCGAGTTGTGACATGTAGAATTTAGCTAGGTTTCTAAAACGTCGGATATGATCTCTGAAGTGGAGGTGTTTATCCAACGTGATACCTAGGTATTTGTAATTGTATTGCCATGGAATGGGAGTATTTAACATGCGGAGGGTGGAGGTGTTTACCGGGACTACTCGCGTCCTCTTTTTCATACTGTAGTCGAAATATATTGCTGCTGATTTCTCCGGATTAATTTCGATCCCCCAGAATTGAAACCATTGCGTCAGTTCGTCAATGGCCCGCTGAAGGTGCGGTATTATGTGTCCTACAGTACAGCTAGGTAAGTAGAGTGTTGTGTCGTCAGCGAATAGCGCGAGTTGGACGCCTGTTTACGGTCGCGGGATGTCATCTGTGTATGCGAAATATAGAGGCGGCGAGAGCTGAAGCCTTGAGGCACTACCGCTCTGATGGGTCGTTTGGAAGAGTAAGTGTTTTCGTGGCGAAAGATGAATTCTCTATTATTGATGTAGCTGTATATGATTAGTATTAGACAATCTGGTATCTCTAGGGTATAAAGTTTGTGTATTAGGCCCGCGTGCGAAACCCTATGAAAGACCTTTGTTACATCGAAAAATACTGCCACTGTTTTGTGTCTCCTTTTGAAGCCCTCCAAGTTGTGTTCGACAAGTCAGAGGGCTTGATGGGGCATGATTGTTGGAGTCCCAGTCCGAATCGTTCGTTTATTATGAGGCCTTTGTTTGATAGATGATTGCTTAAACGCGATTTTAGGATTTTTATTCATTTATTCGTAGCAAATTCGTAGAATTTGCCCAGAGCCCTCAGGAGGCTAATTGGTCTGTAGCTGAAAGGGAGGTCGTGTGGTTTCCCCGGTTTCGGGATGCAAATTATAACTGCTTCTTTTCAGCCAGGTGAGAAATAGAAATTTTTGAGGCACGCGTTAAATATAATGACCAGCAGAGCCATTAGCGGCGGAGAAAAGCATTTTATTGCTTTATTACTGATGCCGACCAGGTCCGGTGCCTTTCGGGTGTTGAGTTTTTGATGTGAGATTGGATTTCATCCAATGAGACGGGATCCAGATCGTTCTTCGGGTCGAGGGACATTTTCTGTTGAACTTCCTCCTCGATCAGGTGTACGTGTTGTGGGTCTTATGGAAGGGATGTGTGGGAGCATTGTTGCTCGATGCTGTCAGCAAGACACTCGGTTTTATCCCGGTCATTGGACGGGACAGTGTTATCTGGTTTCTTAAGGGTGGGAGTTGTCTCGTATCCCTCCGATTTGAAGGCTTTGGCTAATTTCCAATAAACCTTATGGCTAGGGGTGATCTCTTTCATGAGGGTGCTCCAGTTATCGTTGCGAACTTACTGTATGCGTACCCTCACTTTACGTTGGAGGTCACGCGCACGGGACTTATTAGATGGGGTGGGGTACATGCTTGTGCGGCGCAGGGCTGTGTTTTTGGCTCTCAGTAGCATGAATATATCTATTGGAAGTTTTCGGTGATTTGTGTTCGTCGGAACCTTTCTCGATTTGTTCTTGACCACTATCCTGACGTGACGTGGGTGGTGAGAGACCCTATTGCATAGTTGATTTCGTCAGTTAAAACAATGTCGTCTGAGATATCACTTAACGCGAAGATGTCGATTTTCTCAAGCGCGACCGACACCCTTTTCCAGTTTGTGATTGTCTTTATTGGATTCGGCCTATCACCCATTAAAGGACTTAATTTCAGGAGTACGAGACGGAGGTCTGAGTTGAGGCGTTGAAGTGTTTCGATACCTCTTAGTCTCAACGCTACTACCTTAACTAATGCGATGCCGAGGATATCTGGACTATGTTGATTATTGACTGGGAATCCATTCGGTGTGAGCGGCAAGAGGACGACAGATGCACCAATTTTGCTGAAATTTATAAATGGTGCATCCTTTTGCACATATGAGCTGCATAGATTACATTCGAGGGGGCGTGGCCGTGCACTTTGAATATTTCACGTATGAGCACCATATGCGCTGGGTACGCCGATTCGTGGTTATACCTTATAGACCGCCGCGGTTCTTGGCCTTTCATTGGTCCCCCCCGTCAAAGCACAATATTATATACAACTCATATGCGCATCACAATAATTTCATATTTACAATGAAATACGACACAATAAACAAAAGAAGAAATATTTTAATACAATAAATATACACAAACAATAAATACAAGCAAAACAGACAAATATTACAGATTGAACAATTCCTAACAATTCCTACCCGGGTAATAATAAGACAACTATTTAAATTTTTTCATTAAAACAAACACAAAGATACAATTAAATACAAAAAAAATCGTCATTTACATAACAAATAATACACATTTATTTATACAAGGAGCGCAGCTGTCCATAACAAAAATTTTACTTGTTAGATATTCCGGTTCCGCTACTTATTGCCAATTTGTTGAATTGATTATTCTTAACGGAAGTGTATTGGAATATAGCGTCAAGTATTTTTCGTTGACAATTTCTACGCAAAATATATTTAGGTAACTATCTACACACGTTGTCATAGGTCTTTAGGGCCGTACCTGAATTACATAAGGTGTTTTTTTGGAACGAAGTTCCTTATCGCACGTTACACTCGGGCGCTCGGCGATTGGAAGTTACACGAAAAAAAATGTAACCGCAACTAAGAATACTGACCAATGTTGCTTTAGTTAGCATTTTTATAAATTTGTTTGCCAACGTCCATACCACACGGAATACGCCGGTTCTTGTTGGATCAACGAAGTTAAACAGCGTCGGGCGCGGTCAGTATTTAGATGGGTGACCGCCTGGGAACACCGAGTGATGTTGGCTTTTTATGGGGTCGCACATTGATCTATAATAAAGAGAAGATGCACTGTCCCGCGGTCAAAAACGGCCGCGGTAAATGAGTGCTAAAACAAACCGCTTAGCACTCATTGCAATCAGTGTACTTTTGCCACACTTTTCGTTATGACGTTGAAGTGTTCTTAAAAAAGAATGCAAAAATAACACTTCAAAAGCTTTGAAAAAGGACAGCATTTCTTTTTTGCGATAAGCAAAATTTTGTTGATTTATGGTAGGTGATTAAACATTCATTATAATGAGTATTCGATATAGTATTTTGTATTTATTTATTTAAAGTGGCATCAGAAGCCGAGATATAAACCTACTTAAAAATAATAGACCAGTTTCGTATTTTTTGTGTTGTCACATTATTCGGTCGCTTAACAACAGAGACTCTGTTCTTATACCAAAAGAGTCCCCTTATTTATTTTTTATTTATTATTTTTCATATTTTTAAACAAATTTTAAAATTACGTCTAAAGGAATATGATACGTTATGTTAAACCTATCCCAAAAAAATAATGTCTATTGTTTTTGAATTTGTTTTCTAACAAATTATAAATAAGTATTAAATTAGTCAAAAATACGTTAATGTTTAATGAATTGTCACTTTATTTTATTATGAGAACAATAAGAAAGTTTTGTAGTACTATACTCGGTACACCATAGAAATTATCAAGTTCTTTGATTTATATTTTTACCTGTATTATAAAAGTAAATGTTCATATTAGCTTTAATCTCATGTGATAACTACATTATCCTTTACTTCCCAGAATGTCCTATGATCCTTTTCATACACTGAACCAATAAACAATAATAATGATTTAAAAATAAATTTAAACCATTTCACTGATAGCTTGTTATAGAAAAGCACGTGTAAATTGTAAAAATAAGACTTATTTTCTTATAGTAACAAAATGAACGTTACTTGTTTTCTTTGTATTTAAAAATGAACCTTATGGTGTGGTATTTCGGTTGAAACATCTGCTGATGAATAATGTTCCTTCTCTTCTTTTTATTTGTCACGCAAAATTGGTAATATAAAATATGAGACAGAGACATCATGTACACGTTAAGCCATTTTTCGACGTTAAAATAGTAAGCGATTGTGCATCTTTCTTTTTTTATACATCTATGGTGTTGCATTATTTTTATAATCATTTGTAATAAAATATTCATTTTAATATTTAATTACTATCCTCCATTCTTTTTGTTGTATTTTTCGTTTCGTTGCTTTCAAAGTTAGTTAATTTATTTTATTGCTTGCATATAATTTGTAATTCATTTTGTTTTTTTAATATAAAATATAACTCTTGGATTGGTTCAGTTCTGGAGAGTACTCAATTTTAAAGATTTAATAAATAAATATTTATATAAATATATGAAAGAAACATCGATTATTGATTTCATAATTACGTAATTGTGCAAATTGACGAACTTTACAGTCTTTAATAAATAAAAAAGATGGCGCTGTTTAGTGACTTTTTTTATAATTTCAATTATAAAAAAAATGTTTATTTACAACTTACAAACATTTCTTACCATTTATTTACTGATATCATTATTATTTATTTAATTATTTTCAATCTATTAAATTTATTTAATTTTTATTATTCAACTCATAAAATATATTTACATATAGCGAAAGGAACTTCTTTCCAACCGGGTGTCCTATAGACACCACATGAGTTTTTTGGTAACTCCTACCCCCCTTTCGGAGTGGGATTTTCTCACTACTATTTTAACTATTTGTTCAATATGTTCCTACACCAATACCGAACAAGTTCGAAACGATGTAATAATATATTCCCTGAATTTCGAAGTTGAAGTGAAATTTTACATTGACCTCCCTCCTTTTAATTTTGGAATTTGGTGAGATTTTGCGAACGTCCCTCCTCATTTTGAGTTGACATAATTTATGTACGACCCGTTTCAACCTCAGTCTTACATTTTGAATAACTGTCACTTTACGGTTTTTTTTTTGCTTCTGAATAAAAGCGTCGGGAAGCAATGTCGCTGTTTAAATTTTGGCGCGCATAGGTTGATTATCATAATGCATTGTTACATCACAGACATATGCGTCTTTAATTTCAAACGGCATTCAAAATATAAATGAAAGCGAAACAGAATTAAAACAGGATAATGATGATGAAAAGGATCTGGATTTTACGCTAATGTGTGAGAAAGAATCCTGGATTCACCAAACTTACCTATAAAAGTAACCACCACCTTATAAAAGTAGCTGCCGGTATAATGATACTGTCTTGTCGTCAACGCATATATACGTCTCTGAAAATGCTTCTATAGATGCATTCTGAAATTGAAACTAATACAACATGACAATTTTTTTCTAAACATTAAATTATTTACGTGATTTCGAATTCACGTTATTTGTCATGACATTTATATTATTTTTACTTATAAAACTGAAAAATATTTATCACTCTTTAAATATTTATATGGTGCGGTTAACAAAAATCAAAAATGCGTTTTACAAGACGACACTAAAACTTTATACTTTTTTGAATTCTTGGAATGAAAATAAGAAATGAATATTTTGATGGAGTTTGCTGTATTCTACATGATTCTTTACAAAAAATATCCCATGTAAGAATGGACCTATTTGAATCGGTTATACGATTGATATGGTCTTATGAAATATAGAATTAATTAGATTTATAAATGATCGATCTAATGATTTAAAAAGGAATAAAAGAAAACTACGTACATATAATTATTTATTCAGCCATAATTTACGGAACCGTTAAATCATTTTGTCTCGATTACGGTTACCGGTAAGATCCTTAAAGACGTAGACGTAACACACACACACATCTAATAACTCAAACACACACATACATACACATACACAGTCTTAAGACATACACCGGTATCTATTAATAAACGTCATTCAAATGATGCGCCATCTCGCGAAGTAACGTGGGAGCTAGACATATATTATTTCCTATAGCGAAACACTATAACTGTCTTGTTATTTTCGCTCTCAAGATGGAACCCCGCACTTAAGTGTGTTTCATTAATACAAGCTTTGATTCCCAAAAGAAAATAGCTTTCCGTAGCATCGAAACGTCGACGTCCGATGGTAAATTCGATTATCTGAAATCGGATCGCGAACTATAACCCCTCTAATTCTTCGAAAAATCTTCAGTTCTCCCCGACGCGATGTTAAAAAATAACCAAAATCAGATCTGAACACTTCCCGGCCCGCGTCACGGCCCATCAAGTAATCGATCGGCGGGACGGTTGATGAGTTGTGATCGCAATGCGAAATATAGGACAAGGGCCTTCGAGCGTTCTTAGTGTCCCTCGAGGCTTGTGAAGTCAGCGCCCGCGCCCTCATCTCGATGGCGGATCGGCGCGGCGGCTGTGAGGGCCCGTCGAGTGCCGCCCCCGCCCGCTAATGGGCGCCGGACGGCGCCGGCCGCGGTGCGAGATAGCGCCGATCGATAAGCTCGCAGCTCACGCCCGCTATCTCGTGGTGAAGATCTAGATTTTGCTGAGGTCGATTCGGATGCTTACTGGACGAGTCTCGCGTTAGTGAGAGGGGCGTTTTTAATTTTTAAAACGAAGTTCCTTAATACTATTCGCAATGGTATCTCATCGATTGGTAATAATCGTCACGTAAGGAAAAAGCGTTATGCTCTTTCCATTCGACTCTCAAAGACTCTCTTCCTTTCTTTTTCTCTTTCTAACATACGTTAGTAATTGAGCTGTGACTGGCATCGGAATCAGGATTGAAAGCGGAACGGAGAGCAGAAACGAGAACGGGATCAGGATCAGAATCGAAACCAGGGCCGAGACCGAAATTGAGAATGGGGCTAAAGCCGAAAACGATTGTAGGGATGGGTTCAGAATCAAAAGTATAACCGGAATCGGAAACTAAAGCGACACCGGTTTGGAAGCTGACGTCAATCGATAAAAAGAAGAGGAAATATTTTTACGTCCATGCTGGTAAAATTGGAGGCATTAACTGTATGAGCACGCCACCTACAAACAAAGGCAGAACAACATCTGCCGGGTCGACAAGTGAGATAATAAAAGGTGAATGAATTTATTATAAGTACAAACGGGCAGAACCGCGGGGCTAAAACTAGTTTCAGTATCGATATTTAAGATTTATGACATGATCCCTTTATTCATAACTACCTAAAGATATAAAAAAAATACATACACACCCAAACAAGAATGTCTATTTAAAAATTCGATCAGATATTATAAATTTGGATTATATTTGAATCATACTGGAACCACACATTTCATACAAGTACAAACAGGAAATTGGAGATATTTCAACATTAAACTAATTCAGGTACTTAATCTTATTCAGATCAGCTTAACGATTATACATTAAATCATAATTACTATGCCATACGAACTGTGTAATTTTCAAGAAAGAAGTAGTCTATGCCACTTTCGGCCCGCGAACTATGTCGATACAAATAATCTCGTTGCTACTGCTTCATTGTTGTCTTAATTTAAGAAGAAGAAACTAATAAAACGATTTCTCAAAGCCACCGAGCAATGGATGCGGCCGTGCGGGCAACGAACACCTTTCTCCTTCGCTCGGCTGGTTAAGATGTATTATCACTGCTAAATAGCGCTCGCGCATATCGCTGCAATTATTTTTCCAACACTTTACAATTATTTAATATTTAAAGATACTTTAAAATCGTTACTGATTATACCCAAGGTGACTTATCGTAACCGAATATATATTTCAAAATCTGGCTGGATAATGCATTTTAATGCTAAAAAAAATCATCTAAAGCTGATCAGTAGTTTCGCGAGTGAAGCGCACAAATGAACAGATAGACAGGGAGATGTTGTATTTTATAACATATTAGCTTTCGCCTGCGGCTTCGACCGCGTGGGCATTAAGTGAATTCCTTTAACGGATCATGCTCTCAATCACGATATACAAAAAAAGAAAAGTACAAATATAGGTCTCTATTCCGTTTACCTG